TTAAAAATGAAAATTTATACGGTGTTAATACAACATAATAATAATTATTATTATTAGAAGAGAACAACATGTTAAATTTACATGCTTCTAGATGAAGCAAAAAATATTGAATAGTTTCTTTTTCCAAATATTTTTTTAAAAGCGACATGAGTTGATGAATATATTAGGAGAGAAGATTTCTTTTTTCTTTTTCTTTTTTGTTTTGGAGTAAATGATTATTATTTTTATTATGAATTGTATATATTACAAACATTCTTTTTGAGAAAACTAAAAAAAAAAATGTATTTGTCTCTCTCAAGTCCTATATTTGGACAAAATTTTAAAATATGAAAAAACATTTTAAAGGGGAAGGTTACGTAATTGGAACCCTACACTTAAAACATTAGGTTGTAACTATTTTCTCATCATTATTGAAATAATTGATCAAAATTGCCATTTAACAGAATTTGTTAATTGAAAATTATTCTACTAAAAATCAGTATTTATATACCCCCAAATATTTCTTGAACAGGAAAATGAACAAGTAATCCATAGAAATTGAAACACATGCTATGTTTAAACTTTGACTTAGGTAAGTGAAAATGAAATGCATTCATTTTTTACTACTTTTTTTTTCTTTTCACTTTTCATTTCGTGTGAAGAAATTAAGTGCCCATAGTTGGAATATGTCAAATTAGTGGGGCTGCAACTTGATTTTGTTTTGTTTTTTCAGTCCCGTGTTTGATATACTAAGGATGCAATATTGAATTTCATATTTACGTCGAGTCTTTTTATGAGATTAAATTGCTTATTTAATAAAGAAAATTTTATATTCGAGATCTCTAAAAGATCGAAAAAAATATTTCTTGGTATTTCATAAAATTTATTAAACTAATAGAAAGTAATAGGAGAAAAAAATCTCAAGTCTTCTTTCTTATTAGTTCTATCCTTTCAGAAAAGAAAGAAACAATAAATTAATATAAGACATGACTAATGGTGTCATGTTATTAGTCACAAACAAAACGCTCACTAACGGCCATTATTTCCTTAATCACTTCCAATAATGCTTAATTATTTCAATAAATCCCTATTACATTAGTCTAATCACACATGAAATGACAGATTAATTACAAAGTGCCTCCCCCAAACTCGAATTAACCTTTGTCAAAAGCAACAAAAACAAAATGGCTCATGATTTAAATAATGACGAGATTGACTGAGTTTATTTTTTTCATTAATAGATGTTTGGTTCATTGGGTGAAAATGCCGAAATATATAAAATATACATGGTATAATATCAAATATGTATTTGGTTTAATAGAGATAAACTTCTATTTTAAATTTTACTCTTTCCTTAAAAACTTTGGAGAAGGGATAAATTGTTATTTTATCTCAAAATTATAATTTCGAAATTGTTATACTACATAAAATATGTTAGAAAATACTGCAACAAATGTGATTTAAGCCATCACACTAATTTCAGAATAAAAAATTATAATTAAAATATTGGATAAAGAATCTCACTAATCATTATATTTTAGTGAGATTATAATCAGAACTAATTATCTCACTATCAAACGATTTCTTAGTGTTACAATATATTACTAGTCTTAATTGTTCGACTTTCTAACTTTAACTTTTATAACCCTAAGTTATGTTTTAAATGGTCTGATCGTATAAAAATTCAAATAATATGAGTGTTAAAGCTAAACTCAGTGAAGATTCAGACCAGACCATATTTTTTCAATCATATTTAATCAATACCCTTTTTGGGAAAATTTTCACAAGCTTGGCAATTAGAAAGGAGGAAATTAAAGTAAAGCACATTCAAAAGCTAATGGAGCAGTAATATTTTAAATATAGAATTGACGTACAACTAAAATTTTCTCTACAAAT